TTTTTTTTTTTTTTTTTTTTTTTGGCAAAGAACCATATAATTCAGGTGGTGTCATTTGCACTGATAGAGATAGCATTTGCATGTGGTGAATTGGATTGGAAAGGAATGAAAAGGGAGCGATGGTTTCAAGGTTGATAGGATTCCACTCAGAAAAGTTGACTGCCAAGCTCATGTGAGTCCGGTTTCCAGGGCTTGGGAACCAGCTTCATGGCAAACCCTGCCTGGGTTCCCAGCATGCACTGGTGGAGTTTCTGCCTTTGGAGAAGGTGGGGCTTGTTAACAAAAAAAGATAACAGAGAGATTAGGGTTTCTCTTCATTTGGTGCCTGGCGTGTTCTCCCTGGTCTGAGAAGGTCTGTAATGTATGAGTTGGACAGTGCTTCATGAAGAGGGAGTCTGACACCAGGAGCTGTGTCCTCAGATGGTCTTCAGTAATGGCTCTGGGTGTGGGCCACGCCTTATCTTGCCAGAGCTTGAAGCCATCCGGAAGAACATTTGTCTGTGCAGTTCCGGGAGGGATGAGTGGCAGTCTGTGGCTTTCAAAAGTTTGGATTCCTTGACGTCTGGGATTCAACCCTGGATGTTGTCTTTGCATGCGTAGAGCTGGCTGGCCAGGTACCCCAGGGCTGTGAGCAGACAGCTTCGTCCTTCTCATCCTTCCAGAGTCTGGATGCAGTTACTGCTCCGCAGGGTGCTGGAGGCCAGCCAGGGCAGGCCCGCTGCGGGAAGCCTGGGCTGCTCGCCACCGTGTGCGGGGTCCACCCCTGCCCTGGGTTTTTCTCTCAGCTGGCAAGCGGCCCAAACTTGAAGCGTAAAAGAGTGCGAGCTGAATGATGTTTTCACTATCAGTGCCCTAAGAGCAACTTCCAGTTTTTTTCTTCATTTTTTAGAAGGGGGGAGGAGGGTAGGTAAGGGGAAGCAGAGCCAAGAATAATAATAACGATTGAGTGGATGGGAATCTCACATTGCCTCAGTAAGACATATTTTATTAGACCTTGGCTCCTTGCCACTTTCAAGGTGAACATGGTCGGTAATTAGCAGCTAGGGCCGCACCCTGGAGTCTGCGCTCCCTGCTGTTTGGGAACAGGACGGTGAGGAACCCTGGAGTTGGGTCTGTCCTGTCTTAGCTGGTCGCCATCTCCGCAGCCTTCCCCAGGCCTGAAGTCCCACCTCAGCCTCTTCTGTCACCTGCTGCCATGTTCTCCCGCCCTCTCTCATAGGAAGTCCTGCCCAGAGCCCGGGTTCCATTCTGTGCTCCGCTCTGGGAGTGCGGTGTGAGAACAGGCACTAGAGGAAGCTCCACCGGGCGGGGTCTCTGTCTTGTTCTCGCACATCCCTAGCACCTCACTCAGCCTGTGGGAGACCCGGGGGGTGGGCGCTCAGGAGCGCGGATGGAGAGGAATATGCTTGATCTTGGTCCTCAGGTCCGCCCAGTCTAGGGAAGAAGAGAGATCCGAGGGAAAATAGCCTGTAGTCTTCAGAGGGTGCTGAAGAAAGGCACCTAGTCCTTGGGGACGGGAAGGAGGGATGAGAAGCCAAGTGAAGGGTCAGGGTGGGAAGGTGGCAGAGGAGACAGGCGAGAGCATGGGGGGACAGAGGCCACACTTAGGGGGAGCTGCCTGGGGACCATGAGGTGGGAGATGAGTGAGGATGAGGGGCAGGGGTCAGGTCTTGAAAGACCTTTTTTGTTTGTTCTTTTTTTTGAGACAAGGTCTCGCCGTGTGATTCAGGCTGGCCTCAAACTCACTATGTAGCCCAAGGCAGTCCTCCTGCCTCAGCCTCTCAGTGCTAGAATCACAGGCGTGCACCACCATGTCCAGCCTGGGGGCCCTTTTTGCTGGGAAAATGAATTATTTTCCTTTAGAACCTACAGGTAGTTGGGAGCTGTTAAGCATTTTATGCAGGGACAGGATGTGAGCAGGCCCTGAGTGGCAGGGAGAGCTGGCAGGGGACAAGGAGAGAAGGGAGGGCCTAATCCTGGGATGTGGCAAGGAAGAAGCAGATGAGGGGAGGAAGCCCATTAATTGTGGGTGCCCTGGGAATGGTGCTGGCCCGAGTCCGGCGCCGAGCCCAGAAGCGAGGTTTGGAATGGGCCGCACTCCAGGACGGCTCGCTAGTTCTTCTTGACCATTTCCCGCCCTTCCACAGTGACCAAGCTGCAGGTGAGCAAATCGAAGAGAACCCTCACGCTGGTGGAGAACAGGCCTATTCAGCTGGGCTGCTCGGTCAAGTCACAGACCAGCCAGAACTCGCACTTCGCCGTGCTCTGGTACGTGCACAAGCCCTCGGACGCCGATGGGAAGCTCATCCTGAAAACCACGCACAGCTCGGCCTTCGAGTATGGCACCTACGCCGAGGAGGAGGGCCTGCGGTCCCGGCTGCAGTTTGAGCGGCATGTGACGGGGGGCCTGTTCAGCCTCACGGTCCAGAGAGCCGAGGTCAGTGACAGCGGCAGCTACTACTGCCACGTGGAGGAGTGGCTGCTCAGCCCCAACTACGCCTGGTATAAGTTGGCAGAGGAGGTCTCGGGCCGCACAGAAGTCACCGTGAAGCAGCCAGGTAGGGGCAGAGGGTTTCCTGGAGACTTCAAGGTGCATCATCTGGGTGCCCCTGGGATCCTTCCCTTCTACCCACAGTGGGCCTGGATGTGGGTGCAATCTCATAGACCCCCGACTCTTCTTAGGGTACTCAGGGGCAGCTGTGGTTAGCAAAGTGTGGCAAGGCAAGAATCCTTTGCAGCTCCTGGCTTCTTTCTGGGTTTGTGATTTGCACCCTGGATCTCAGGCTGGCACCAGCTCCAGACCCAGAATTCCTTCCTAGAAGTGTTTGCTAGTTCTGTCTGCCTTCCCTTCTTCCATGACCTCGCAGAACATCCTAGACCCCCTAGGCCCTCCTGTGCCCACACTGATTCGGCCCTCGGGCCTTCTCAGACCCCGGCAGCAGTCCCTCAGCCTGCTGCCACAAGGGGGTCTTTGCTCTGAGGACAGGTCCCGGAGGAAGGACTGGTCACCCCTGCAGTCCTTAGTGCCGCAGCCCTCCTTCTTGAAAAGTGTCTCCCTGTGATTTCCTTTGCAGGCTGTAATCCGCCCCTAGAACAACCCGAGCTCGTTTCCTTCCAGCCACACGCAGGCTGTGCCCTCTCAGTCTCTGCTTCTCTTCACTCCCAGGTGGCGAGGCCACAGGGCCCTCTCCGTCCCTTCCCCCACGTGTCCTGCTTTGGCCGACTGTGGCCCCCACCTCTGTCCATGCCTGTTGGCGCTGTGCCCTCTGCCTGCGGGGCAGCTTCCCCACCACTTCTGCTGGTCATCGTCCATCGCCCAAACTTCACTCGGGGCTCTTCCAGGAAGTCTGCCCTGACTCCTCCCATGTCACTCGGGGCGGACATCTATAACTGTAGCACAGTAATTACCTCCGTTTCTTCCGCCCTGCGCTGCAAGCCCCGTGAGAACAGGGCTGTGTCTATCCCTCAGCCCTCGGCATGGCACCCTTGGTAAATTCTGGCTGAATACGGGATAAATGGCTGCTCCCTACACAGCACAGGGCCTTGTACTTCTCGTTCTCTTGGCCCAGAACATGCCCACTGCACACACTTATTTATCTCGTTCTTCCTCTGAGAGGCATTCCCAGTTCATTTTAACTTAAATGGTGCCCTGGGCTTCCCTCCCTCACACCCTTCACAGTCGATACCTGATGCTGCTCATTTACTTATTCGTGTGTCAGTAATTCTGAAGCATGTCCTCATGTTTATACTTAGAATCACTTTTCATCTAGCGTATTACTTATTCATTATTTAAGTATCCAGGCGTACACATAAATTTGTTGTCTGCCTCTCCCATGAGAATTAAAGCTCCCCAAATGAGCACACGGACTTCATTTTCTTCCCCATTGCTTGACTCCCATGAAGCCTCAATAAACATTTATTCCAGAAACCAGTAGTACCGGATGCACATTCCAGATGTGCCCAGTCGGGGCTGGATGCAGTGGGACATTCCTCGCGTGCGCCGTGACCCTCAGTGGTAGCACAGTGACATTTTCTGCTGGCTCTGCTGCTGTCTTCCTGCACCAGACTGGAAGCCCCGCTTTGGCACGGCCCCTGCCGGTGTTTCAGTGTCCGGTGTCCTGACTGCCTGTCAGTCAGTGCCTGAGGGCCACCAGCCTTCTCCTGGTTCCTGTTCTCTCTGCTCTGGTCCTTTTTCGCTCCTGGGAGAATGTCACCCCCGCCCCGCCCCTCTCCTCTGTGGCCTTCACCGTCCTTTTCCGTTCGTTGCCTGTTCTGCAACCAAGATTCCCTTGGTGGGTCATGAATTCATGAAGATTTCCCCAACCGAGGCTGCAGTTGAGCTAAGTGAGATAGTACAAGAAGATTGTAAGGATCTCTGTCAACACGAGTGGCAACTGTGTCATGGTGAATTTTAACACAGTAAACAGAAAACTCACAAGGCACTGATTCAACCGCTTCCTCCTTTCCAGCTGAGATCTGTGGTTCATTCCGTTGTTTTATATTTTTATACTTATAATTAAAAAAAATTTTTCCTTCTGATGAGGAAACATACTTACACAAATCAAGCAAATAAAAGGAGCTCCAAATGAAAAATATAATGCCCTTACAACTCAGAGATAACCAGAGTTCACATCTTATTATGTATTATGAGTTTTGTTATTTAAAATGTATTTTCTGGTTTTTTAAATTTATTTTTATTTTTTTGGTACCAGGGATCAAAGTTGGGTCCTTTTGCTTGCGAGGCAGGTGGCGGAACCACTGAGCTAAATCCCCAGCCTTCTGGGTTTTTTTTTAATCTTTTAATTGCAACAGTCATCCTGAGCAAAACATTAAGATGGTTTTAAAATGCAGGAAGTAGACAGGTTAAGTGCCCGGTTCCCCTGTCTGATGTGGCCCAGGGCTGTTACTATCTTCTTGAGGTGCTCCTGTGTGCTGACGGTCAGGGCTTTTGGATCCCCGGGTCCAGACAGGCTCCTTAGGGCTTTTTGTGATATCACAAGACTGCAGGCTCTTGTTTTCAGCCCATCTGGTTCCCTCATTCTTTTCCTTATGAGGTCAGGTCAGCCCTCTTCCTACCATGGGAGGGAAGTAATCCTGGTGTGCACGTGAGGGTATCAATCTGAGGCTCCTCCGCAGTCCTTTGTGGTCACCAGCCCAGCATTCTCCAGCTGCATGAGGTCAATTTTCAGCTTACCCTTGCCTGCTCCTTCCTGGTTGCCCCCTCAGCCAGCCGTGCTCTGTGATCTGTGTCCCCGGGAGGTGACTGGTGTTTGTCCTCCCTTGAGCACCTGAACCATGAGGGTGACGGGCTGGGGACAGCTGCCACTCCCTGAAAGCCCAGGCACTCACACCTGTGACCCAGGAGCGCTGCGAGTTTAGAGAGCCACGTGTGAGCAGTGTGTAACTGAGTGTGGGAGGTACCCATTCACCTCCCCTGGGAAAGCCTTGTGCAAGTCGCCGCAGTTCCATCTTAACATCTCTGCCCTCACTCTCTTCCAGACAGCCGCCTGAGGCTCAGCCAAGCCCAGGGCAACCTGTCCGTTCTGGAGACCCGTCAGGTGCAGCTGGAGTGTGTGGTCCTGAACCGCACCAGCGTGGCCTCGCAGCTCCTGGTGGAATGGTTTGTGTGGAAGCCCAACCACCCAGAGCGCGAGACGGTGGCCCACCTGAGCCGCGAGGCCACCTTCCACTACGGAGAGCAGGCGGCCAAAAACCACCTGCAGGGTCGGCTGCACCTGGAGAGCCCCTCACCTGGAGTGTTCCGGCTCTTCATCCAGAACGTGGCTGTGCAGGACAGCGGGACGTACAGCTGCCGTGTGGAGGAGTGGCTGCCCAGCCCCAGCGGCCTGTGGTACAAACGGGCGGAGGACACCGCAGGGTCAACCACAGTGACAGTCACGAGACCAGGTGAGGCTCGAGTCCCGTCCTCTCCCTCTGGTGTTTCCACTTTGACTAGAATATCTTATGGGCCGAATAAAATTAGTTTATCTTTTGCCATTGAATACATGTCTTAACGTTTTACATTAATATTCAAAGAGATCTCAGCTTTTTGGTTTTTTTTTTCTACTCCCTTTTTTTTTGGTACCAGGGATCAAACTGTGTTCCTTGTGCTTACGAGGCAAGCGGCAGAACCACTGAGCTAAATCCCAGGCCCTTGTTTTTGGTTTTTTGGTTTTTTTCCTTCTGAGAGTGGAAGGTTACCCATCTGGCCTTGGCCTAAAGTGATTTTATTTCTTAATTAGAATAATTAATTATTCTAGAGGACGGAATATTTTCCTTTTAAAGACTATGTCTAGATTCAGACAAGTGGTTGATGTGAAAAATAAAAGTCTTGAAGCAATAGCCATGTGGTTCAAAAAGTCAAGCTGGTGAATTTTCAGAGGAAAGGAGTTGATTCTTTAAATAGAAAGCAATTAAGTATGTGTAGCCTCCACTCTCTCGCTCCCTAATAATTTTATTGGTACTAATGACTATTTTGTGTGGCCTTTTGCTTTCCTTGTCTCTGGTGTTGCTGCTAAAGTACCTTAAATGGGTGTAATTACTGGTGTAATTGTTGTCACACACTTAAACACGTAAGGCACGAGGTGCAGATTCCCGGTGTCTTTTGTGACATCGCACTGTCGTTCCTCCGGATCAAAATGAAAAGCTGACAGTCCCCACAGGGGTATGGAGCAGAGCTGAGTTTGTGGCTGCCACGGGCCTGAGCGCTTTGTCCTGTTTGTGTGAGCACCCGATGAGCACGCTGTGGCCGGTCTGCTGGGAGTGTCCGTCGCGCGTCATGTCTAGGCTGTGCTGCCTCCTGGTTGGTAGCGAGTGGATCATCCGTGTGGCTCCGTGCCCCGTAAGTCACGGAACATGCTCCAGGGAGGTGAATGTACCCTGTGTTGTAGGGGTTCTTCGCTTGCCTGTGTCTTACTAGACTGGAGGGGAAATCACCTCCACTTTGAATTACTTGTTTATGTGTTCACTCTTCTGCCTGGAGACTTCCGCTTGTCTTTTCCTGAAAGTAAAACTAGAGAATGGCAGCTGAATACTCTCCTCCCTGATCTCACCCATTCTGCCAGTCACCAGACTGAGGCCCCTTGGCAGAGGAGACACATGGCTGTGGGGTACCAGCTACATCCCTGTGACGGTTAGCAGGTTTAGGTTCAGTCCTCCTACCGATCCGGATCAGTGCATTTTACTAACAAGGGCAATAAATCCTTAAGGGAACTGCTACACGCCAGGAAGAGCAGGAAAAGTGGTCTCCCAAGTTTCCCTGTTGCCACACCACGTTCTCCCAGGGTGGCCCATGAAGATCTGACCCTGCAAAGTGCCAGCCTAGATCTGCCTTGCTTTTTCCTGTCCGTCTGCCCCTGAGTGCACCAATTGTAAAACACACTGAAAACAGGAAAGGTTGGTTTTGAAAAACTACCTATAATCTCACTACCTACAGTTATCTACTGTAACTTGGTGTGTGTTTTTAATCTTCACCTCATGTTGTATTCCCACTGTCTCTTGCTCTAACAAAGTCAGGATCTCACTGTTCTATGCAGTATTTCTTTGTTTAGTCGATATTCTTTTGTGCTCATTTTCATGTGTTGGTGAAATTATTTGATGACCATCATTTTTACTGGTTGTATAATAGTCATGGTGCAGGTGTTCTTCACAGATTTTTTTCTGAGCTATAGCTGAGCATGTAGAAAATCAAAAATAATGTGACCAAGAGTTATGTTAAGAGAGTAGCTGTTCTCTTGCATGGGTCAGCATTCACTACACTGTGAAGGGTCTGAAATGAAGGGCTCCTGCCTCACTGAGGTTGTACCTGGATAGATCAGTAGCTGCTTTTGGCTCACTAAATGGGAAGAGAGAACCGCATTTCTCACACACAGACCAGGAGGCTGAGGCCAAGGTAACAGCCCGGAAGCACTGGGTGGGAAGTCGAGGAGGCACTGAGATGTGCTTCTCTCTTGTGTCTTATCCTGGGTAAAAGAAAGTGTTGAAATCAGAACAGAGAGGAGAGTTGGGCAGACGCAGGGAAGCACACTGGTGGAGAGTTGTGTTGGGGGAGGAAGCTCTAGGAAGGTGGGAATTAACTTCGTGCAGAAACACTTACACTGAGTCACTAATGCATATGAGATATTACAGGGGCCAGAACACCTCGTGTTAGAAGAGGAGAAAGCAAAGGGAGAGGAGCTGGGAAAGGGGACGTGAGGGGACAAAATGCCTGATGGTCTCCACCCCATCTGGCCACAATGGGCTCCATGGAACGTTCGCCAGGGCCATTCCTGTGATGCACACCGGTCACTGGGAGCCTGGGAAGGTGGTGCTGGTTGCTGGCAGAGAAGCTCACAGGCTGCCCCTAGGCCAGGGCACAGGTCTTTGCTGGTGCTGGCTTTACACTTTGGCTGTGCTGTAGGGAAAGACAATCTCGTGCGTTTAGAGAGTCAGTCACCTGCAGCTGGTTTGATATCTTCCGGCCTGCCCTGTGCCGTCCGGAAGCAGCCTCTAACCGAGAGCTGGACTGGTGCTTGTACCGGGTGCACAGTGAGATTCTAGATGGGCCAGCCAGGAAGGGGGCGTGCGAAGGGCTTGGCAGAACCCCACAGAGGCAGTCGGAGCCCTGGGTTTGTGTTCACCTGTGGGTGACATCGAGCCGGTCCGTTGAAAGCCCAGGACAGCACTTGGGAAATGGTCCTTTTGGTCTCCATCCAAGTAGAATCTGACTTGGTGTGTCTCCTTCTGTTAAGGTTATCAGCGTCTCACAAGAGTGTTCACACAGAGCCAAAGGGAAGTCTTTTCTGAGCGGGCAGTGAGTTGTTGGTTTAAAACCTACTGCAGTGAGCCAAAGGACAAAGGAAACACGGCAGCGAAGACCCTAGAAGGAGAGGCTGTCTGGTGCTGTCTGTGGGCATGGCTCACTCTCGTGGGGCCTCTCCTGTGGTGATTCTGTGTCTGCTTCCAGCAGCTGGGGTCACAGGTCCATGGGCTCCCTCTTGAGAAGAGGGAGAGGCCCTCCGGGGCCTGTTGTCTGTCATTTGGCTTCAATACTGGGCAGAGTATTTACTTCATTGGGTTCACTGTGGCTAAGGCAGTAAGCTAAGTGCACACGGTTTAAATTCAACAGTAGCTCCTGAGTGGACATATTCACTTCCTGCGGTTGCTGTAACAAATTAACCATGCACTGGGTAGCACAAAACAAAAGAAATGTATTCTCTCACAGCCCTGGAGGCAGCAGTCCACAGTGAGATGTCAGCACAGCCAGAGGCTCTGGGGAAGAATCTTCTCTCGCCTCTTCAGCTCCTGGTGGCCAGGCATCCGGGGCCCGTGCACTGGGTCCCTCCCATCCGTGGCTGCCTGTCTGTCATGTGGCCGTCTTAGCTGTGCGTGTCCTCCCTTTTGATGAGGACCCCCGTTCTCTTAGTGTGCTGTGCTCTCAGAATACTTCAGCCCGGGGAGCTTAAACAGCAGGCCCTTCCCACAGTCCTGAACGCTGGAATCCAGCCCATGTTGCCACACAGTGGGGTCCGGGTAATGCCCTCTTCCCAGCAGGCAGTTGCTACCTCTCACTGCGTCCTCACATAGCCTCACACGTGTGTGTCCAGGGAGAGAGTTGAGCGGGTGAGAGGGAGGGAGGGAGGGAAAGACAGAGATTTATTTTACTCCCTATAGGTCACCATTCCTACTAGATTAGGGTCCAACCCTAATGACCTCATTTAACTGACATTTCCTGTCTAAAAATCTCTGCATTCAAATATAATCCCATTGGGGGGCGGTGGCTGCAACGTGTAAGTTGGTTGGAGGGGGACACACTTCAGTCCCTGACTCAGTCATTGGATTTAGGGTCTGCCCCAATCCAGGATGGGCTTGTCCAGACAATTCTTCTGCGGAGAGCGTCTTTTCAATTACGGTCACCTCCTGAGAGTCTGAGTGGGCGTGCATCTTGAGGAGATACTATTCAGCCACTGTAAGCGGTTCTTTTGAAATAAGTGTCCCTTCCTCCCTACATGCCAACTGAAAGCCATGTTATAGCTCCTTCTGAATTCATCCAGATATCTGATACAAACGTGAGCTGAAGTGCATGTCAGAATACAGCATGCTCTGTATTCTGAGAGTTTTCCCAGAACTTCTTTGCACATCTCTGCACATAGCTCAGCCTGTTTGCCTTTCCAGTAGGGCAGTGGCGGCAAGCCGATGGCACGCGGGCCACAGCCGGCTGTTTATCACTGGATGCTCTAGAAGATTCGCCATCACCGCAGGATGGCATAGTAGTCTTGTGCAGGGAGCCATACAACATAATGTAGTTAGCAGTGGGCATCTCATGTGTTTCTCCCTCCTTTGCTCTTTGCCTTTCCCCAGATGCAGCCCTCCAGGTGGACACTGTGGTCCCCAATGCCACTGTGTCTGAGAAGGCGGCCTTCCAGCTGGACTGCAGCATCGTGTCCCGCTCCAGCCAGGACTCCCGCTTTGCTGTGGCCTGGTATTCCCTCAGGACTAAAGCTGGAGGGAAAAGGAGCAGCCTCAACCTGGATGAGCAAGAGGAGGAAAAGGGGGAGGAAGAGGAGGAGGAGGAAGAGGAGGAGGACTCAGCAGAGCGGACAGTCTTGCTAAGCGTGGGCCCAGATGCTGTCTTTGGCCCGGAGGGCAGCCCCTGGGAGGGCAGGCTCCGCTTCCAGAGGCTCTCACCTCTGCTCTACCGGCTCACAGTGCTGCAGGCGAGCCCCCAAGACACGGGCAACTACTCCTGCCACGTGGAGGAGTGGCTGCCAAGCCCACAGAAGGAATGGTACCGGCTGACGGAGGAGGAGTCTGCCCCCATTGGCATCCGTGTCCTGGACACAGGTGGGTTGCCCCAGGTACAAAGGAAGGCTGTCACTGGTGCTTCCACTCCATGAAATAAGTTAATAAGCACTCTTCGTGGTCATGAGCATTTATTAATAGTGTCTGAGATGTGGTAGAGTTTCATGTACTTGGCCGTGTCATGGACCCTTGATGGCTCATGGGCAGAAAGTGGGGCATAGAAAGTGAAGCCATAACACACTGTACAACCCTTATAGTAAATAAACTGGCTGCTGCACCAGTCTACTTCAGTAAGATTTCCTGTTGTAAGTATGTTGTTAGAAGTTACTTTGCCACTTTCTAGAATACTGAACCTAGTTTCTTATCCTTGAACTATCAAGTGTTTCAGACCCCTAAGGGGAAAAACATGAAGCCTTTTTCTCGGTCTTCAGGGCACTTTAGTTCTGGAGGCTGACTGGGAAGCATAGGTGGGTTTTGCATGCTTGGTGGGGAGGACTAGTGTGGAAGAACCGTAATGTGAACAGAAGTGTGGGGAGAGGCGTAGCCCCAGAATATTCCTCAGTGCAGAGTTCGCAGGCGTAGGGGACTTGCTCCTGAGGGGAAACTGGAGGAAATGCCTGCTGCCCAAATTATTTATTCCAACCAACAAGGCACTTTAAAAAACTGTGTCTCCATCAAACTGTGGAATAATCACGATGATCAGAATACTCAATAGTGTTTACTATTATAGAATGAGCCTATATGACAGATACAGTTTACTGGAATTTTTATCTTCCTTCAGTCAAAACTTTTCACCCCGCGATCTTGTTTTAAGTTTTGTGAGCTGTTCCTTTGCTTTGCTCACCTCCTGTTAGCATCTTCTGAAGTGGCGCTGAGATTTTGTAGGTCACAAGTCGTTGAGCATCAGCAGTACTGTAGACTTGGCATTCCAATAAGTATACGCGTGTATTTACTCTTTAAAATAACTGCCGAGGAACAGCAACTCTGCAAGGGAAGAGAGAGCAGAAAAAGCCTAAGTCACACTTGGGCTGCATAACTTTCATTCATAAACCGTCGACTGAATAACTCATTGTCCCCAAAATAAAAGCGAAGGTGTTCAGGGCCACGTGTTGTCAACCTGCTGTGGGCATCTAGAGTTACTAAGCTTTGCAGAGCAGGGAGATCATCCAGCAGCCTTATTTTACAGAGAACACGTAGGTTTTGAGAGGCCAGGCCCCTGCGGAAGTGCAATGAGTGATTGAGCACCCCTCAACCTGAGTGTTGGGGCGCCTGGATTCGTTTTCTTCCCTACGTGGCTGTAACTGCTGTGCACAGCCACAGACACGCTGGCCATGGTCAGCGGTCTGCACTTCTGGTATGACTGCTCTTGGAACCTGGCAGGAAGGGAAGATGCTAGACTTCCTAAGAAGGAAGTGTGGAGTAGAACTGAGTGCAAAGGGACATGTAAACTGTTGCCACAAAAGAGGTTCAGACTCAGCAGGAGCCAGGCTCCTTACTGTCCTAGTTGCAGTCAGTAAGCTCCACTTTATTCTGTGGCTTTCCGAGCAGTGCATCTCAGCGGAGAGTGGAAGCGTTGCATCTCTGGGACTTAGAGCTGTCAACTGGGAAAGGTGATGATGTGAGGAAGGGAATTCAAAGTTAGCAGGGAAAGGGCAGGGCGGGACAGGGTCATCAGCAGCTTCCGCCAGGGCAGGCAGGGTCTTCAGGGACCGCACGGACAGTCCAGCTCTCCTCACTGTTGTGTCGCCCGTGTCCTTCGCAGGCTCCACCCTCCAGTCACTCATCTGCCCCAACGACGCGCTCTTCTATTTCGTCTTCTTCTACCCTTTCCCCATCTTCGGCATCCTCCTCATCACCATCCTGCTGGTGCGCTTCAGAAGCCGGAACTCCAGCAAGAACTCTGACGGGAAGAACGGGGTGCCCTTGTTGTGGATCAAAGAGCCTCACCTCAACTACTCCCCCACTTGCCTGGAGCCCCCGGTGCTCAGCATCCACCCGGGAGCCATAGACTAACGGGGCGTCCCAGCAGGCCTTGCCATGGAGGAGCTGAGGCTCTCCTCGCTGCCTCTCGCTCTGACTGGACAGTCGACAGCACCCAAAGGTTCCGATGCCCGTGCGGAAAACTGTCCGGCTTGGAGAGCGCCCACAGCTCCCGGTCGTCACGGAGACAGGCTGCCTCCAGGCGGCAGTCTTGGTCGGTTAGCTCTTCGCGCCCAAATGTCGTGATCCTGCCGTTGTAGGTTTCTAGTTTTTGGTTTTGGTAACGTAGTGAGTAGTTCCAGGTGCCACATCTACTCACCGATTTATCTAGTATTCTCAGATAGGTGTCATGGGGTTCTTACTCCCAGTAACATACCCTTTCCAAATCCCCGTGGTTTGCCCCTATTGGATGCCATCATTGTTGTGGACGAATTTCACCTATATCCAGCTGATGGCAAGAGGAAGGATGACTTTAGAGTAACAAAGAATCTCTTCCAGGACTTTTTGTTTTTGCACATTTGAAAATGCCTCCCTTGGATCAAAATACACCCAAACCTTTTTTACATTCTTAACGAGACTTGAAAAATGTGTGTAGCGTGGGCCCAATTTGTATCTTATCTTTTCCCTCAGCTGGAGTTGTTGGAACCACTTTGTAGTGAAGATGAAAGCACTGAATGTTGCTTCAAAGAACTGTGTAGAACTTCATTCCCTGCATAACCCCATTAGGATAGATGGTGCCAGCCCAGCCTATCTGTCAGGGAGGAGAAAAGGCTTCATCCAGTCCTTGCCAAACAGTACGAAGACTGTCTTGGACAATGGGTCAAAAGCTCCCGAGCTGACATGGGCAGAGGGGTGCTCTTAGCAGCTACCGACTTTCTGCGTGATGAGAGTCAGTGATCAGAGAAGGGAGTATGGAGAGATTGGCGCTGGCTTCGTCTGTTCTGCAAGGGCGGCCTAACGGGCGGCTGTGAGCAGGTGGGTTTTGTCTGGAGCTGCTCTGTGCGACCCTGAGGGGAAGCGTCCAGGGCACTGAGCTGAGCAGGGGGCAGAGGCGGCCGCTGTAGATGCCCAGTGCAGGCCGCTGGGTCACACGAGCAGGGCTTCGAGTGAGGGCTGGGCAGGGCTTCCCAGTACCTGGCAGCGGAGAGCCTGGAGGAGTGAAGTCTGTTTTTCTTGTTCCTCCCACTGAGATTGCCCTCAGCTATGTTGCTGTCTTCCTTATTCGCCATTTATCTCTGCCCACAGCTCACTGCTGGGAAGGTCCGGATTACTTGGTGGGCCTCTCCCTTTTCCTGGGCCCCGCAGACCCGAGCACATGTATCATCTGTGGGATTTTTTTCCCCTTCCCTTTCTTGGATCATGTTATGGTTTTAGGCTGTTTGATTGTTATTCTTGTTTTTCATTTCAATGCTCCATGGGCCAAATTCATTGCGCTCTTGGGCCAGATACTTAGGTCCCCAGGCATCACTGGTTGCCAATACTTCCTTTGGGTCCCTTTTATGCCCTCGCTTCCTTGTGTTTTCCTGGCCAAATACTCCCTGTCCTGTCCCCATAGAACCTACACCTCAAATCCTCAGAGGGATTTGGGAAGAGCTCCCAGGGATTCTGGAGCCAGGTCTAAAAGAGACGCTGCCAGGAAGCTGGGGCCCCAGGACGAACAGACTCCAGAGGAGGCTGCAGCATGCCTGTGACACACAACGGTGGATTTGTGTCAGGTGCCTGCAGGTGCACAGGCTGCCTGCTGCTCAGTGGGTGCACATGAGCCACAGCGCAGAGGTGACCAGGTGACTTCTGATGTGTTTCGCCTGTCAGTCTCTCCCTGCAGAGCTCTCCCAAGAGACACGCAGGCCCTGCCACCTTAATCGGTGTGGTGCCTGCCACACTGATTGTCATTTCCTGTGCTACATCGTCGGTTTTCGAAGTACTGAATTGGCTCAGTCGTGAAGAAAGAATGTCCGTGGCCCCATTTGAGGTGTGTTTTCAGTGGGAATTTGCCGGCTCCTGATTTTTAGGCTGAGTCAACAGAAGATGACTGACTTGAATGGAAAGATGCCAGAGGGCTGGCTGGGGCTGAGACTTCACTTTGAATTGGTTCATAGCAGTAGGAAAGTAGGTGCTGCCCATAATTAAATATGTGAAGCAATTACAGGAGATTTGAAAGGAAAAAAGAAACCGAAGCCAGTATTTTAATAATTGCTTTTTCTGTGTATTTTCATTCCGGCGGGGGGATACCATGAAAGGTGGAGTTTTTTGAGCTTTCTATGAAAAACCCTAGGACCCTCTTTCCTTGGCCATTTCTATGGAAATGTGGATGAATGGTAATGGTGCCCTCAAGTGGCTGCGAGACCTCATTGCATGGGTCTACTGGAGCTTTAGTCTTCTAGAATTCAAGTGAGGAAAACTGCCGGACACTCTTGACTTACTGCCTATAATATTGCATTTATGAAAAACTACACTGTGCGAGACACATCCGGGACGTGGATATGACCACACCCTCTTTCACTAGGGTGTTTCTGTAGCAAGTTTTCATATTCTTTTCAAACAATGGTTTCTCTGCTTTAATTGTTAAAAAAAAAAAAAAAAAAAAAAAA